GTGTGTGTGTGTGTGTGTGTGTGTGTGTGTGTGTGTGTGTGTGTGTGTGTGTGTGTGTGTGTGTACCGTGTTTTCGTTTCGAGATCTACAAAGATTACAAGGCTGAAACATTCGCGACTTAATCTACACATACGTGCGGGCCTTTGTCCTCAAAATGTACGCTCACATCCACGTGCTTCTCACGTGCGAGCAACAGTTTTTCGGCGGAGAAGCGTTTTCGAAAACGGCGCAAGCTAGAAGGCTGAAAGTTTCACAGAGATTTCCTTGCCCACGTCTAATCCAAAGATTTCAAATTCAGCTTTCGCGCATCTCTAAGTCTCACGGACGCATACTTAAAAGTCTAAACTGGCATCGTGCCAATTCCAGACTGAAACAGAGCAAGAAGGTGTAGAAAGCTGTAATTTTACAACGTTACTTTTTGCCCACTGATGTGCTTGTGAAAGTAAATTGAGCTTTCTAGCCCCTCTGCATCTCACGTACAGGGCATTTTTGACGCAAGCATTTTTGTAACTTTAGAATTGAAGCAGCTAGAGGACTGGAAGTTTTTGAGCATGACCGACGGCAACGTTTGACCAGGTGGGCGTGGAAACGACTTTCATGTCTCACGTGTGTCTTGCATACGCGCACGTGAAATTCGACGTAGCCCCGCGATCAAAGCAGCCAGGGCGCTGAAATTTTCTGAGTGTGACCCAGGGCCGTGTTTGAACAAGCGCATGCGAAGACAGCATTCACGTTGCTACGCACGCACGAACACGTGAAGTTTGACGTAACCCCGCGGCCAAAGGGGCTAGAGTGCTGAATTTTTCGCGCATGAATGGAGAGTCAATGTAATAGTTTACAGTCGTGGTCGCCCATTTGCCGGAAGAAAGTGCTATTAGAGAAAAAAACCGAGGGAACTGAGGAAAAAACGCATTTTCGCAGCGGCAGCTGGTGCGCAGTCAACTGAGTTTAATACTTTTTTGTTTTGACCAACTTTGGTCTCGTATTCGCTTTCCTTCGCACTATAGATAAATTTGCTGGCAATTTCTCCATTATTTCGAGCTTGCTACACTCACGTAACTCTGTAGAGACGTTCAAGTGATCCTTCCATGCTACCGTATGCCTTCATGCTGCGTATTTAAAAACTTGTGAATACCACTTCATTGTCCATTTCGTCCTTTGTTTTTTCATTATTGCCGAAGGATCAGCTCGACTTTTTTTTCTGGTGCACAATTCCTTGATAATATCGCTTATGCGAGATCCCGACCGCAATACTCGTGAAAAAATGCTGTAAGCTGCTAAGGCATATCATGTTTGTTCCTTGGTTCATTGTGTCACGGCAATTTTTTTTTTCTGTTCGGCAAGTGTGGACTCCCTTTCTTTCGTGCGATAGAACTGGTGGTGCAGTGAAATTAAAATTGTCGATTCTATAGCTGATGGTGTATTTAGTGTTAGAAAAGACACCTTGTAACTTGGTAAAGGTTTGTGCTTTTTTCCTTCCGGTTCAGTTTACGCTTTCCTCGTCATCCATCTGTATTATTTGCTCCAAGTAGACTTGACTGCCCCCGAACTAGCGGTTCGATTGTTTGAGCCTCATGTTGAACTGCCGGTAATGCACATTTTTTATTCACATGATTTTATCTCCGTGAGTTTAGAGTTTTGTCACTTTGTTTCAGATTGGTCGTTTGTTTATCTAACAAATTTGGCAGTGATTGCGTGAAAATTATTTGAAGCTTATTTTGCATTCAAATGACCTGAGAGAAGCGGAAATTTCGCAGGCGGATAGGCAGTTATACTGTGGCATCTTTACGATAGTTATACTGATAATAGATTGGTGGCTTCGAGTAGCGGAACGATTTTGTCCTTTTTATTGCCTAAGCATCTAGTTCGTCGAGTTATTCAAATTTTTCGCCTATTTTTATAGCTGTTTTGCAGTAGCAAGGTTCACGAAAGGAGAGGGTGGCGAACAGTTATTGATTAGTGATGTAGTATGCTTTCTTTTTTTTTTCTTACTTAATGTCGCTCCTTCGTTAATTAAGTCTGTTGTCCTGGTTGTGACCGTAAAACATAATAAAAAAAGGGTTCCAGGTTGCGCAATCGTGACTTTTTGCTTCCAGAACATAAAAAGATAAGTTTTTCGAGCCCCGGAAGTGCATTCGTCTTGTTACAACAATGGTTTGTTTTGTTAAGGAACTGATTTTTGTTAAATGGATATGATTTTCTTTTTCCAATGAAATTAGCTCTTTTCCCCAGTTTTGTGCGTTTGTGGAGCGTGTGATAGGTTGCTGGTAATGCTTTTAGTATCTCTGCTGCCGAAGTGCTGCTATAACAGCTCGAATAGGGTTTACTGCCAGTTTATGACGTCCTAAAACTGACGAATGTTAAGTGGAGTAGCGTAGGGGAATAAGGTGTGCTAGGTGGCCACATAAGTGACAAAAAATCATTCTTATTTAGCAAAGGGAGTAAGTAAAATGGAGACAAATGACCACCCGACGGAGTAGCTGCAATCCCAGCAACATTAATAAGTTGATCTGCTTTACAGTAAAACGGCGCCTGGTCAAAATTTTTTTTATCAGTTTACTGTCAGTGACCAACTGATATATTCGGTAATGGTGCCCACGGATTGATAAATGATTGTAAGCGTAAATTAGCTTTATCATTTTAATCGCTATCATCTCATTGTCTGTGCAGTAGAAAGTTCAAATTTGAAAACAGCAGGTGGTTTTAACAGCGGCATTTCACGGATTCAAATTTTCTCAGAAAGTTTGTTCATCTATTTTTTGCAGCCGATCTTTGCACTGCAACTGAAAGCAAGAATGGTGAATGTAACGGAACTAGCACCAGCGGGCAATTGGAAAACGTTCAAGTGGCATTTGAAGGTACATTTTCTCCCACATTGCTTCGTCAAAAATTACTGTTCGTTGTTTCTTGTTGATTATTATTATCATCATCATTATTGTTATCATTATTATATCATTATTTTTGCCACATTGTGAATGCTATTAATGTAGCAATTAGCAATTAGATTTTTGCTTGGTCCATGACAGTGGAGTTATTTTGACTGCTTCTAAACTTCTAGCAATATATCAGTCGCGGTGGCAGCTGAATACCGAACACAGTTTCATTGCAGCGTGGTTTTCTGTTGTCGTTATGAGCGGGAAGATTGAATGTAATTAATTTGCGATAGACTGACTATTCTGGCTTCAGTTTAAGCCAGAATCAATAAAACAGTGTGGTACAGCACCTAAAAAAAAAGATGATGATTGCAGCTGAAATGTACGAATTGTCAAGAACAGCGAGACCATTGGCAGTATGTTATTGAAGCTGTAAGTCGAGTTAATATTTGATTAAAAATGCATTCTAAAAGAACTGAGAAGGAACTTTTCTCACACATTGAAACAAATGAAATAGACCATGAGATGGGGCGGACGGCAGTAGGAGTTTTGGATGAATAGACTGACAAGCTGGCTACCAAGCGAGAATGCAATAAATGAATTTGTAGTAATTTCTTTGATGAATTTGTTATTTTTTTTTTTCAGGAAAAGCAGCAGGTTGGCAACAGGGGAACCGTAAATTTCTTGCAGAAGTGCAAATTTTGTGATCGGCTAAATTCGCTTGGTAACGCAATAATCCATTGGTTTTGCTTAAAAATTTTGTGAAGTTTCACTGAGCGGAAGCAAATATACCAAGGCCTGAAAGAGCTGGTGCAGACTTCATAGTCGCTGCGCCTTTTATCGTCAGGATCGTTCGGATGGTCGATTTGGGACATTTCGAGATACACCTACACGCGTAGTACGTTAGATGTTATTGTTCTTGACTACTTGCTTGCTGGCGTCAACTTTCATTTGCGCAGCATATGGGATCTGTTCCTTCGTCCGTCTGGTAGTTTTTGCCGAACTGCTGTTCCACAATGGGAGCAGTCCGTCCCAGTTAGCGGACATTATTTTTCCTCGAGGAATAGGGCGACGTTTTGAACTGCGCTTATTTGACGATCGTTTGGTTTCCTATACGGCCGTGAAAACGTCACCAGTTTTTCCAGTCCTCTACGTCCGGTCATTCTTTTCGTTGCAGCAGCTGTCCTCGCTTTAACAACCGTCACATTTCATTTTGCACCACTACTTTCAGTGCTTTGATATTAGAGTGACAAGCGTAGTCGTTTTCTAATTCTTTGTTCTAAGGCAGACGGAATTTAGAGCAACTGAAAGCCTTGGAAAACGTAGTTTGTTACCGAAGGTTGTGACATGTAATCAGTTATTAGCGCAAGTAAACCTACCTGTTTCTGCAAGGCCTGCGTAAAATTTGACACGGACATTACGATCGCTTTCTAACGTCTTTTATGTCGCTCAATGCACGCCAGGTGTCTTTTTTCTTTTTAATCGTTACAGGTAATTTATTCAGTCTTTAGAAATCATGCAAGATTCGTTTCGACCATACGTGATCAGTTCAGAAGGAGACGATGATGATTTTAAAGATATCATTCATTTCAACTGTCGTGGCATGGAACCAACTGATTTCGATCCAAGAGTTCGTGTTCTGTTGTGATCTCGCGTAGTTATGTAATAGCTTGGTCTGAATTTTGCCTTCCTCAAATAGGGAACTTTTTTCCTCGCATCGCACATGGTTAAAAATTCCGCTTTGGAAAATATACATGTTTATTCGTATATTTTTGCGACGATCTTGCGAAGTGCCATTCCCCTTTTTTGCTATCTTTTATAGAAAATTATTGTTACTTTCGATGCATTTCGGTAGCAGTTTTGTTTTACGTCAAGAAGACGAGGAAAAATTTAGAAATTTTTGTTAATTCCTTTTTGGCAAAATGCCGAAGGTCGGAAATTTAAAAAAAAAAAATCTTGAGGATACAATTGTCGGCATACGATTTGTTTGAGTAACTGATTTCACTGATTCGGACAGTTTGCATACATCTCAAGATGGAGCGGTTTCGTTCTGAATTTCTGGGACAAGGCCTTTTCCGGCAAACCTCTCTACATCCACAGCCATTTTCTTTGTAGTCTTTCATTTATTTTATTGACCTACTAATTAACTGAATATATTTTTTAGTCTGGTTGGGCAGCGAACGCAACGGATTCAGACATTCGTTTCGATTCTATTGATCTCAGTGAAAAGGTTTGATAATTTTTGAATTACTGCTGTCTTTTCGCTTATGCTCAAATTTTATAGTTGTTACATTACAATACATTTATTTCCGTGAATTAGTCAATAGTAGTGCGCGAGGAGTGGTGGGTTAATAATACTGTGCTGACTGCTTCCTGCCGGAATTATGTTGACTATGAGTTTCCCGTTAACTGCTTTTGCCGGTACAGGCTCTTTCTTCTTGCTCTCATATGAATTCTTTAAATGATAATCTGTTTCAAATTCTCTTCCCTGTACCAGGAATGGGCTGATTACGACGAAAAAGCAGCGAAACCCACAGAAATCACTGATTTGCATTGGCGCTTCGTGCTTTGCCGAAAAAGTGAATCGACGAAGGCGAAGTAGAAAAATTCGACATGAAAGCATTTTTGGTTCTATGATCCATCCAACTTGTATTCACAAAATCTAACTGCTGAAACATGCGATCATGCCAATCTTTTGTTATGTTCGTTGCACTTTGATTTTGTTTTTCGGTGACATTTTACAGGTGACATGCTGCATTTACTTGAATTCGACTTGCTGCGAGTACATTTACATCCGGAAATGCCTGCAGCTCCTTGATGCTGTGTGTCGTATTTTTGTTTATCCTTTGCAGTAAAGCTGAACTTAGGTGCACGCTGTGCGTCTCTCTAGGCTGATTTTTATGAGTAGAGTGCAGTTTACAAGTTCTGCACTTGTTGCGTTGGGTAGATCTGCAATTCAGCCGGAACGTGAAGCTGTTGTATGTGTGGGCAGTTTTATGTACAAAAACGTAAGAAATATTTCAGTTTTTACGTTTCTTGTCCTTGATGTTTCTGTTTGCTTGGTTGATAAAAAATAGAGATTTCTTGGAAAACCAGAGATGGCTCTGCCGACTTAATAAAGAAAACGAATTTCGTCTGTAAATTTCACAAATCCTGGCCCGCACGTCTTGAAGTAGTACTTGAAAGTGAGACCGGTTGGCACTTGTATACGAATGCGCACAAACAAACACGTGGACTTGCGGGAAAAATGCAGACTCTAAATTCATTTCTCCACTTCCGTGGATGCATATTTGGGATGTACCACACGTTAGACCGTTATTTTCGCGCAACACGCTCATCTCGGAAGCCACTCATTTGCTGGAGACTCGCAATGTAAATGAGGGGCGTTAGCTTTAAATCCATTTAAGACGGCAACCTGGTATTGGCTTTAGTTGTACATGAGTCCCCAAAGTCAACCTACTGATTGCCAACAGTCTTATATCTATTTACTTGGAACAACCAGTACAAATGAACAACAATTTGAACATAAAGCCAAATACAGAAGAAGGATTTGACAAGTGCCTAGGCGTCTTTGCTGTCACTAAAATAACAATCCGTCTATAACGACACTTCCGCACCGTTTCGCCAGTGAAGCTGCATAAAATATAGTTAATGAATATTTCGCGCGCTGAGGGGCAAAAGTCAGCAATCATCGATGAAGCCGTGAAGTGGCGCCCACTAGACAGTATTGCGATGGAGGTATGAAGTGGCAAAAGTTACTGGGATGTTGATGCACCCGGGAAGAGGCCTTAGATGTTTATTGCGAACAGCGATCGAGTGGAGCAATCTGTTAAATGGCTCGCAGGCGATCGAGGACGGGCACCTGGGAGGTTGTGAGTGAGGTGGAAGAATCGAAATTCACGCCGAAATGAGGTTAGTTGGATAAGTGTATTTGGGATGAAAAGGAGTAGAAATGTTGCTAGTAGCACTGATAACGAAAAAAAGCACAACAACGACCTTCAGAAAGTGAATAGTAACTTAGTACAGGGGAGGCAAGAATTCAAGCAGGCAGTGCTACTTGCAGCCCAGCAAATTCCGAAAGGCGCCATTTCTGTTTTTATCTTGTAAGTATGAAGTTGTAGGTCAACTTTAATATAAGGGTGATTTAAAAAAGTAAAAGCTGGCCAAACAATGATGACCAATAAATAATCTAGGGTACGGTAGTCCGAAAATTTGCGCTCTGCATGTTGAGTCACGTCTATGGCATTAGACACTCAGTGCTGAGAGGCTGACTGGCTTTGATCACTATTCTTTATTTCTGTCATCAAAGTACGAAGAATTTATAACTTTATTCATGAAGGATGAAGCGCCGGCGCACATTGCAGCTGAGAACCCTATGATTATATATTCAACAAACTTCTGACAACTATGATAAGCTTTACAGCCTTTTGCCAGTGAATTGTTTATTCATTAAAATCTGTTTTGGCATTTGCCGTTTTTGACTTGTCATAAATAAAGAATCAGAGAAATGCAAATTAACAGTGAAAATAGTTACGTGGAGAACAACTAAACTAAAGAATAATTGGCAATACTTGCACTTCTATTTCTTTGTAATTGGACCCGTACAGTAGATAACTGAGGCAACAAAGCTGCCAGCTCTCCAAGACCGCCAGTAGAGTTAGCACTAGTCGTTCGCTGTAGGCCGAAAAAGCGTTAGAGGGCTTCGGCACTTGCAATGATTATTATAATTCTTTGAAACAACCTGAATATCGGTACGACAATTTACGCCAACCGTGCAGTGCACATGTCTGATTTCTGTAAATCCAGAAAAGCCCGAACTACAGATCCATTTTTCAGACTTTAATTTTGCGCTGGAAGCTCGAAGTGAAATTTTTTAAAGAGTTAATTAGATAAATCGCTAAATTATCACTGATTCACGAATAGTGTTTTCCTTTATTTTTGCTTTTCACTTTCAGTGTAGCATTTCTTGACGGACCTAGAAATCAAACACTTGTTTTCTCAAATTTGGCATCTCGAAAGCAGAATCAAGAAATTTTTTGGCAGAAATTGCAGCCAGTTAATTTGGTATCCCATCCAAATGAATCATTCCAAGGATCGGGCAAGAGCGCAGTACGCTCGCTCTTGCTGTCCGCAGCAGCCTAGGACTGTTTTGGGCCATACGCACGCGGCGATTTGTTTTGTTCTTATGTAACAAGACCAGTTCAGGCTTCAGCCTAGGATTCTCAACACGGAGATAAAGTTGGTGAGAAAATGGCAGCCATTTCCAAGATCTGCTGCTATTTATTTATGTGATTCTGGAGACACTTAATTTGAATACACACTCGTATATATATATATATATATGTACACTCGTGGTATTGTGCATATATATATATA